TAAAACAGTCATGAAATTAAAAATCAAATATATATTAAAAATATTTTTGAAAATTATGTAGAAAATTATATTATTTTATAATTTATATTCTTTTATATAATATATATACTATAAAAATCTCTGTTATTTTCTCTTCTTTCTTTGTCTCTTTCTTTTCTTTCCTCTCCATTTCTCTCTCTCTCTCTCTCTTCTTTTTCTTCTCTGTCTCATGATATCAAAAACTTTTATAAAGTTTCTAGAACATTTGATCAGTTTCGTGAGTACCTGTAACTTCTGGCGTTTGCCTGAGTAATCTATCTCTAAAAGAAGATTCATGTGAAAGACTTCATTTAATATTATCACACTGTTAAATTAATAAATTAATGATGCGTACAATGCGAAGATATGAATTATAATTTACTTTGCTGGAATATCTCAGTTTTTACAAAATTAAACATATATGCCTCACTTCAATTAAACTTCATTTCGCACCCTTTTATTTTTTAATCGAACAAACAAGTTCCTAAAAGAGGACAGTTGCTGATCGATCATACGTATCTCGTTTGCGTTTGTGTAACACTCGGTCGTAAGTCGCGACCACGCTTCTAACCCAGTTTTGCGTATCAATAGGCAACGATCTGAGTACCACAGGGGGAGAAAGAAAGAGAGGGAAAGAGAGAAAACAGGGCAATGGCAGGGGAAGAGGCTAGGGGCAGGTAAGGGAAACGAGTGAAAAATCGAAATGACACAGTAAAAGCACCACTAATGCTCTTTCACATTAACACTCGACGTAAAGTATGCTCTCGGTGTAAAAAGCCCCGTGATCGATGAAGCTCGCCGATTGGCTCGCTCGTCGGGTGGATTGAAATCAACCCCCGGGCCGCTGGGCGACGGTTTTCCGACACGCGACCATCCCATTGGCTGGCTGATGGTACCACCCCTCGGTAACTTACCCCCGTAATATTACCAGAATCGCTCGGAGTGGCAAGAAATTTTATCGGATTTGATGCCACGAAGAAAAAGATGTGTTTTTACATATAATTCTTATTTTTATACACATACATGAAAACTCAATTAGACAAAGCAATTAATTAGATAACTGTTAATAAAAATATAATCGTATATAAGTATTAATCAGTACGAGTTATTTGCTAAAATAATATCTTGATTTATCTTTTAATATTGAATCACTATCGTATTGTTTTCCCATTTTTAATTTATTTTAAAAATACGAATCAAAAATTATACTTTGTATTTTATCTTAATCATTCATCAGTTTATAAAACAATTTATTTTCAATAATTATAAAAAAAGTAAGAAATATATTGAATTTTTCTTAGAATAAGCTGACTCGATTGAGAGAATGACATTTAATAGAATATAAAAATTCCTTATATATGTTAAGAAGAATTCTAATTTAATTTAAATTGGTGTAGCCTTATGTAATTTTTTTTCTAAAAAAGAGAGGAAGAGAAAGAGAATGTTGACCTAAGAACTGTATTTTTTTAAATATATTGATCCTGATAAAGTCATTTGTTTATTTTTAGCTGAAGAATAAAAATCAAAGCTAGTATTTTACTACGCAATCTTCTACGGAAAATAAGATAAATAAATATTTTTTGATTATTATGATTATATTGTTAGATTATATTGCTGACAGTACGTGCATGAAAGAAAGACAACTCGTATCAGTGAAGTTATTAATTCAACTTAAATAAAATACTTGCGGCTCCAATAAGATAAAACCATTGAACCCTCATCAGAATATTACATTATCAACACTGTATTTATTTTTTTAAACGAAGCTTTTAAAGAGATGATAAATTAAACGAGAAACGAAACAGACGTTCTTCTATCCTGAGCTTCTCCCGCCGGAAACTTTCCGTAAGTTACCGCCGGGGAACAGGGTGGGATAGAAAAGCTAGCAAACGGGAGGGGATGAACGTGAAATCCCGCCCCAATGTAGAATCCGCCCTATGCTTCGAGGGTGCTTGACGGGCGACCTACGAACGAACACTAGTCGTCAAGTGCTCGTCGAGGACACTTAAAAATTACAAGAAGTGTCCTTTAGTAGTTCCAAAAAGGAATTATGACCTGCTTTACGGGTTCTTCGGATGGACTCAGTAATGACTGACAGTTGCGAGTGCGATACGAAAATCAGTGAATGGACATTGGATTACTTGTTGGACTAGTTATTATGTTTGTGCTGGCATAAGGATTTTTGCCACGAAATCCGTGAACTCTTGTGAAAAATTATATTTGTTAATGCTAAAACGAAGAACTATGATAGTGTTATATAACAGAAAAAGAGTGACCATAAAATTGGAAAACGGAAGATATGGGCAGTTGCAATCACAAAAAGATCAAAGAAATTAAAAAAGTTGTTAAGAAAGTTGCTCCAATAAGATGTAAAAAAAAATAAGTAACAAAATAATAAATAACATATTACATAAATCAATTGTGAATCAATTTAACATATTAATAATTTTCCTCTAAAAGGAAAGTAAAAGTAAAAAATTTTATCTCTTTTCGAAGCAAAAGAGACAAAAATCTCACTAGCTTTCGCATTGTGCGAAGTGAGTAAAGAAGAAAGAGATCTTTCAATTAATTTTAATTTAAAATATTATTGGAAAATCGAAGAAGAAAAAAAGAATTAGGATTGGATTGGCGATTCGAAGAGACTTTTAAATATATGAAGATGTGCCGTCGGTGAAAGATGTAACATGTACTGACGCTAATAACAATCATCTCCAAATCTTTTCAAAATGGTGGACAAAAATAAGATTTTACCCTGGCCGCTGCTACCGTATCCTAGTCTTTTAAACCACGTTTGGTACAGTCAGCTTGCATTGAATACTAGGTAAATAATATTAATGTTCGCGCTAATCAATAATCTTTGATTAATCGAGAATTTTTTATGATTATCGAATTCTTGCACATGTCTTTATTAAGATATATCATGTAATATTATATTGATATTATGATTCATTGGAACACTATTATTTATCAATGACACTTTATGTAACATCAAGAAATTTCTCATTATTAAAATGTATTTACATACTTAGATAATAATTATTTATATAATTATTTAATATCACATAAATTGTGTTGTACATATTAATTCTGTGTGTACATATTAATTCTAATGTACTTAGATAGCATAAAAAAAGTCAAAAGTATTGCTTCTTCTAAATATTTTGTATTTTAATAGAAATATTTTATAATTCTATTAATATGAATATTTTAAAATCCTCACTTTAGAATTTTTATGTAAAATTTACATATTTTAGCAAATATATTATAGTATATTTTCTTAAATTATATGCACAATTAATTTTGTCAACAATAAAGAGACGAAAGTGACACTTATGTTATATCTATAACAATTCTTTTACAATATAATAGTCATCCAATATTAAATAAATAATCATAAATCATAATCAAGACATAATTTTAGCAAATAATTCGCGAATTAATACTGTGGATACTTGTCTATTTTTTTTACGTAATTGAGATGTAAAAAACATCGTAATTACAAGAGGTTGAAATCGCGGGCGATTTCAATGCTGGTACTTTCAAATAATTATCGCTTCTCGCGAGGAAATGATTTTCCTCTAATATTTTAATCTGATTTTTATGACGAAGTCAAGATTACATGAATTCGATAAAATACGTAAATAAGTGAAATTTAATACGAGAAAAAGTTATTAATTAAATCACAAATGTCAGATAGCTGTAAATAGAATAAATTAATTTGTGATTGTGACAATGATTATTAAGACAATCTAATAATCAATAATCACTTGTGACATATTTAATGATTTTCTCTCGTACAGTTAAAGTGTAAATATGTGTAAATGTATGTTTATCTGTGAATAAGAAGGAGAGCATATAATCATATATCTGCAAGATATAAAATTGTAATTACCCTGTTAATGATCAATGTTCGCCGAAACTTTTCCACTTTTTCTGTAACTAAAAACTGCCGTTTTATCTCGTCGCAAACTCACACAAGTTTTCTCAGACGCACGGCAGCCTGTAAATAGTTAAAAAGAAAGCTTATTCAGAAACACCCGCGTTTCGTGTCGGAAATATTTAAGAAGCCGAACGTGCCACGATAATGGCTCGCACAGCTTAGTGTGAACGGACCCAAAAATTTGTTTCTACACGCAGGTCCGTACAGGTTGCTTACAAATGAACGCGGGAAGCAGGTATTATGTACCCTCGAAGACGTCTCTCTAATCCTGCAAGAGCCGATGGCTTCTTGACGGTTTCAGGGCGGCTTCCAGGGTCAGGCCTCCTTCCTAAAATTGGATTTTACCGGCCAAAAACATCTTTGTACCCGACTTTCCGACTCGCAAAATCCACCCACGAATATAGTTATGTTTATTCAAGTCCCTGAAACGAATTGCAACTTTGTACATACGTACGTATGTTCGTTTTATTAGAACAAAAGTTATGCGCGATATCAATTAATCGCAAGTTTCTAATGCCGCAAGCGTATTGGCTATCAGAGATAGAGATGTCAGATTTCAAGCCGATTTTTCGGAGAATTGAATTTTTTTAATCGACTTTTTTCTATCATTTTTTAATTTATATATAGATTATTTATTTATATAAATTATTTATATATTATATATTTTAATATACATTTCTTATTTTTTATATAATTATATATATATGCATATACATATGTAGGTATGTATAATGTATATTCCCATTCTAATAAATATATTATTTCGACAGGAAATTGATTCGACAATAACAAATAGCAAATTGATTGTTTCACTATTATGTATCAATGCAAATTAAAATCTAATATCTAATATCTAATATACTAAATAAATGATTTATCTTCATGTAGCATTAATTTTTTGTTTAGACTTTAAATTTATCCCTTAAATGACATGTAATAAAGAATTTTCTATATATTTTATTATTATGTTATAATACTTTCTATTGGTATCATTTCTAGTATTTCTTTTTAAATTAAGATTAACAATCAAATTTTGTTGCAGACTGCTCGAAAGTATGAAAATGCCGGCTAGGACATCCGGTTTCGCTATTAGCGACATTTTAGAGTTAAACGATACCAAGCCGTCACAAGAAGAAACAGATGCGCAAGGTACACAAAGTTATTGTATTAAGTAGTTACATTTTAACGTAATTAAGAAATACATATTTCGTATTTCGTTAATTGCATTATTAATTAGTAATTGAACAATTATTACAATTCGATAATCGAAATATCAAGTTTAAAGTAATATAGATTTGTCTAAAAATCTATAATATGAATCTTAAAAATTTGAGTTGATTCAATTTTAATCTCTCTGATTAATACATGTTTCGAAATTTAAAAAAAAGAAAGATAATATATATATATATATATATATATATATATATATATATATATATATATAAATTAAAATTTAAAAAATCGGAGAAAGTATAAAGTCCTAATTTTCTTTGGTTATAAAGTTTTAGCTATTAAAAAAACTAATACATTTTCTGGGGTTTTGTGTTTCAGGTGCCACAACCGTTCTACCAATATCCAACGACATGCCACTTGCTTATCAACAATTTCTGGAGCACACGACTGCCATGCTACAACCTATGCACCCTATGAACAGGGGTACGTTGCCGCCACCCCCGCCCGGATTATTAGGTTGGCCAGCTGGACCAGCGCTACCGACAACGTTATCTCAACCCTTGGTGGAAGAGGTGAATGGTGAGCGTGAACATGTTATCCCTTATTTAATTGTCCAGAGATCAGGGGCACGCGATGACAAAAATTAACGACAAGCAGCATAATTTGACCGCAATTACGTCATTATATATCGAGAAATAATTATTAATATTTTAAGAAAACGCGAGAAAATAAATTTTCCATTCGTCAAAGATACCATTTGTATTCCATAAAGAAAAGACCTTTGGCTGAATTCACTTTCCATCGAAGTGCAAGATTTCTCGCCCCCTTTCTTCGCACTGGTAGAAAGGGTGCACACACATACACGTGTGTGCGCGCGCGCGCGCGCGCTTTTGCGGGCGGAAGGGCGCGAGATGGAAACCCTTATTTATTTAACACCCTACAATTGGTCCGCGAGGGTTAAGCAGGATCTAATGGTCCTGTAAAAGGTTCTCGTGGGTACCGCACGGCGATTGGTCCGCGAATGAGGACAGATGTCATACCGGGGACAGATGCGCGAGCGGCGGGGGCCCCCCGGGCCCCGGTCCTCGTTAAATCAGAATCGTCACGCCCAAAAAATTCGTCGGCGACCTATCCTGCTCCTTTTTATCTTCCTCTCGCGCGGTCACGGTTCGCACGAGCGAAAAATCCGAGCGACGTGTCGAACCGACATGAGAAACGTCGCCTGCGAATAATCGCGGTCGTCCTGTAACAGATAAAGAGGGGGTACGTACGATTGAGTGGATCTTTTTTACATCAAACGTTTATATTGTTCACTGAATGGTGTATTGTGTATATAATTCTCTTTAAAGCAGATTTTTCAAAATTCTGGACGGATTTAAATATGTCTGTGAATGATTTTAGAAAATCATTCACAGACATAATTTTCTAAAATCTGTGAATGATTTTAGAAAATTATACAAGTGCAATATATACTTGAAAAAATAAGAATAAAAATTACTAAATACATGATGAAACATCAAACAAGATATAAAGATTGTTATCATGATGCCTCTTTTAATTTTATTTTATTAAGGAATAAATTTAAAAAAATTAAATTGCACTTGGTTTCTTTAAATAAACGAGTTTAAATTAAAATTAAAATAAATTAAAATAATGATAGTACATATATTTTATATGCGAAATCTAGTTCAAGAAATGATTCGCAATTCGTATTGGAAGAACGCGAGATCCCAAAGCTATCGCATAGCTTCCTTTGGAGACATTAGTTAGTGGCGAGTGTCTAATTGAAATCACAGTGCGACTGCGAGTATAGCCTAATCTCCCATGAAAATGATATGGTTGATCCCATAGGGTCCGGAGCAGGGGTATCAAATAGGCTTTATATTGGTTCACACCCTCCTTGAACGGGTCCCCGGGGGTCGCTCACAAAAGCATATTGTACCACGGCGAAAGCCAGTATCCCAACGTCGTACATTAAATTAGCCGATATCCCGAGCCAGATCGAACACTTTGCTACGGGACAAATCAAGTTATTGTTCATAGTATAATTATCATGTCAACAAAATTATATTTATTTTGTTATTGTTTCATTCTTGTCATTCTTTAAAAATCTCTAATTAAATATTACGGTTAATTTACAAATTATAATGATATTCACGTTTGATCGTTTCTATAATCGATTAAAAAATTTCTCATAGAATAGTATTATAAAAAAAGAGATCAGAGATCTCTTGGAATATCGTGAGAGAGTTGAAAGTTTGTATATTTATAGAAAGTGAAGTTTAATTAATCACATATAGCATATCATGAGATTTAACGATATAATTCATCGGTACTGATTAGAAGAACTATTAAAAAATCAATGCAGGCGTGCATCTGCCGGTAATCAACGCTAAGAGCAATCGACGGCGCCGGCTGAAATGCAGCTGCAGTTGGTTATCATCAATCAAGTAATTGAGTCGATCATTTACTAAATACTATACTTCCATCACGTCATTTAACATACTTATCTTAACGATGGTTTATAGCTGCACTAAAAAATACCTGCATCACACGCAATCGTGTATAACAAAAATTCAGATCAATATTTAACAAAATAATACGAACAATCTAGTCAATATTTATGCTACGTCGGGATTCTTCTACAGAATGGCATTGGTCTTTCGAAATGAAAATTAATATCGCGATAATATTTCTTGTGTTCAGTTCTTCAACAACCAGACTCGACGAGTCCGGCGATCTCGGACATGTCGTTCCCGTCGCAGCAGGAGAACAGTCACGAATCGTCTAAGGACGAGGAGTCGCAGGACTTCGAGGACGAGCAGCAGGCTGGCAACGAGACGGCGCAACCCCACGAGACCGAGCACAAGAAGCGAAAGCGACGAGTCCTGTTCTCCAAGGCGCAGACTTACGAGCTGGAGCGACGTTTCCGTCAGCAGCGTTACCTGAGCGCGCCCGAGCGCGAGCATTTGGCCTCCATCATTCGTCTCACGCCTACCCAGGTGAAGATCTGGTTCCAGAATCACAGGTATAAGACGAAGAGGGCAGCGAGCGAGCGCGTCGAGGCCGGCGGCAGCGGGTGCTCGCCCAGGAGGGTTGCTGTACCAGTGCTGGTGAGAGACGGTAAGCCCTGTCAAAAGCTGATGGAGCAGACGTATGCCGGAAGCAATCAGGTTCCGATGTCGTTCGGCATACCACAAAAACTTTGGTGGTAGAAAAGATCGGGTTGGTTGAAGAAAAAAGAAAGGTTCGCGCAATGAATGATCATTTCGCGAATCATCGGCGATAAAGACGCTGTGATAAGATGTGAATATAAAGAACGGATGTAAGGAATTGTTCGAAATGGAAAAATTCTAGCAATGTTGAGAGCGCGAAGAGTGCATGAAAATTCATTATGATACACGATAGTATGTACGATGATTATGTGTTAGTGATTATAAATTCACTATGGATATTGTCGAAAATTCATTTGGAAAGACCAACAAAGAAACATGAAGAGTTATAATACGATTGAGATTAAACATCAATCAAGTGAAAAGAGGAAGATTGATAGAGAAATAATTTTGATTCTTTCGATTCTACATGTTTTTCGACTTCTAGTGAATAATTGATGCATATCCACTCGAACTCTTCTGATGTAATTCAGATGTGCGACAAAATTAAAGAGACGCACAGCAATGATGAGATAAAAAACTAAGTCCACCTTCGAGTTATAAAAAGCGTGATTAGCTGACACACTGAATTTTAACTATCGCGTGTATTTTTCAAAACTATCGATCTTCAAAAAGAATAGCATTACGCATGAAGTTTTGATAGCATTTCATAAAAGACACGTGTTCAAAGATACTGACTTGTTAGGAAACTGAAAACGATCGATATCTTTCTAAAAGAAGGATTATTGTCGAAACTTAATACGGGAAATTGCTGTTTTACGATAGCAATAAATACTCGTTTAAGTCGACGTGCGATGAAAAATGTGCATGGAAAGTTTAGCAAATGGAATGAAAATTAAACATTCAAAGATATAGATGATAGAAAGAATGTATCCAGCTCATAGAAGGTAGCAAGAAGATGAATTTATTAATGATGTGGGATACATATTCTTAAGAAATGTCGAAGCAGTCGAATATTTCCTTAATATTTCAAAAGACAAGCAAATATCGCAACATATTACTTCATAAAATTACTTACGTAGAACACATTATTGCATATAAGCGAATATTTAGCTAATTAAAAAATAAAATGTCGATATTGACAATTTGAGGAATGATAAAACCTGAATGTTCAAAATACAAGTAAGTGTGGAAGATTAATAATAACGCAAAGTAGTTTAACGAAAACAGATAATTAAAAAACTGCGAGCCCTTTGCTCGGAATTCTTCAGTTTCTTAAAATAACTGAAATCCAGTGTACTACAATTAAAAATTGTTGCGGCTAGTGTTGATATTCATAAAAAAATTGAAGACAGTGCGAATACCGTCGAAAACCAAAGATCGCTTTCGCGTACGAGCTAATTTCGTGTATGAACTAGAGCTTGACGTGAATAAATAAATATTTAATTATAGATAAAAAAACCGTATAAAAAAGAGTTTCTCATTAAATGATATCGATGTTGCGTTCTTACGAGATAAGATATTTGTACAAACTTGTTACACAATATCCCGGTTACTTACGTAGAATTCGAATTTAGTCCTTAGAATGTGTGTCGTAGAAAAGAATATCGTAAATGCAAAGAATTTCGATTTAATCCTGAGGTGCACCATGTCGTCTATCATATAATTAAATTCACGCACATTTAACGTCTTTTTTCGAATTTTTCGATAATAGATCACACGAGAATAAATTACTGCCAATGAATTAAAGTCGAATTTAATTAAATTGTGTATGTATGTGTCTGTGTGTATGTATAAAGTAGACATGCAGAGTTCTGAAGAGCCATCTTGAAAAATAGAACGATGTCCAGAAATACTAAATTTCGAAATTGAAAAATTAATGCAAAAAATTCTAAACTAATATAATTTCAAAATTAAGCAAGCAAAGTTCAGAAATACAATTTTTCTTAAAAATATAAAACAGACGAAACTACAATCTCGAAATCAGGTGAGTGAATCACTTCTCAATTAATTAATACATAGCTAATCTATGATTCCGCACATATTTTTCTCATGTTCTTGAAAGATTCAGATTTGGCAGATATCTGATATATTTAATAGATTCTCAAAAAATTCTATACTCGCAAGATATATGTAGCTACGATTATGGTTCTATATTTCTTGATTGTCTAATGCGACATTTTCGTTTCTCGCAATAAATTTGCTCGAAAGAGGAAATAAGTGGCCAGTTTGGAGGATACATTTAATAAGTACATATATGTCATCCTCATTAAATATTTTCTTCGGAATTAAATATGATTTTCTTAATGATTTTTTTATATGTACTTGAAGAAAATTAAATGAGGAAAACTTGCCACGATGATATGATTTCAAATGGAATGATTCATTGATATTAACACAGGCTTTGTATCTTAAACTGACATTGTTATCTCTTAAACTTAAATTCTTTAAATAGTACATTGATAATGCATGTACTATCCTGATAATGTTACATAATTATTATGATGTTTGATGTCATAATAAATCGAAGAATAGAAAGCGAGATCGATACTGTGAGCAATCGTAAGAATATATTGCAGTGTTTCGTCCTTAATTAATTAATTACATATAAACTGTATATATGTACATTGTGTATGATACGTATAGTAAACTAATATATCAGAAGCGTATTTAATAAATCTTGATCCTAAGAAAAGTAAATTTTTTTACTAATCTTGACCCAAAAATCACTTCAAGTCTCTCTCTTTCTTTCTCATTTTTAATTAAAATTAAAAAAAAAATCAGAAAAATTAAATATATGTGTGTATGTATATATGTTTTACTATATTGTAACAAAATTAGTCCAACAAATCGAATCTCTATCTAGAAAAATCAAAAGCAAATTATTCTTGATATATTTTTTGTATTAATATATTATCAACATTTTATAATAATTCGTTGCAGAAAAAAAATCTTAAATAATGTATACATATATATATATATATATATATATATATATATATATATATTAGTGTGTAATTTTGTTATTTATTCTGTATATATTATTAATATAGAGTAAAAAAATAATGTAACAGAATATTTTTAAATGTTTCAGTGATATCGTAGCATTCTTCTCTTTCTCTCTTTTATATTTACAATAGGGAGTATAACAAAATAATACACTCAAGACTATCCATTCGCTTTCTCTGTCTCACTTATTCTTTTCTAGACTGTTTCCCTTTTTTCGGGACACGCCGGAAGCCAGCGCAGCTTGAGTGACAAGCTTCCGGTTTCCGTTTCCGAGCAGCCATCTTGTTACCGGTTTAGATTTCCTGAGGGCGCCCCATCGAGTCTCGATGGGGTTCGCATTTAACTTTTGCGACCCCCAGAGAAACTTTTCATTATTCGCGTTATGATTTACTCGCTCAATCAACAACAAGAAGCAGATTGTGAATTCAAATCGATGTTTCTTATCTCTTGCAATTTCCTCTCATGATTAAGATAATCGAGCTACATAATCGCGCCATCTTATCAAGTCGCGTAATAAAACGTGATCGTATATCAATATTCTCTGTGGAACTTTATTATTCAATTAGATTCCGCGAAACGATAATGTGTGCAAAACACAATGATGAATAATCGTATAAATCTAAGCGAAATTATCAGGCGATAACGGATAAAGTTTCTATCTTTTGCAATTTGAATTACCGGTATGATTATCCATTTTGTTTCAATTTTCTTATAATTCAGACCATAATATTATAAATCTAAATTATGAGAAAACTAAAAATCTGTGAATTAATTTATTACGACATTCTTCATTTGTATCATTTCTTAATTTTAATAGAATCTTTTATTAGTTTAAGCCCAAGTTTTTTAGCAAAAATATAAATATTACTATTTATCACAATTTACAAACATATACAATATACATTTTTTGTACATAAATAATATATAATACGTAAAATCAATATTATATATACAATTATCAAATATAAATACAAATATAAATATAAATGTTATATAGAATTCAATCAAAACTTCAAATATATATTAAAATGTATAAGTCTCAAATTAAAATGTATACCAGAATTTTCCTAAAATTGAATAAGAAATATGATGTCCTAATCTATTCATTAGATAGCGAGAAGACCATTTTTAGTCATTTCTAACTTGAAAACTATCGGTGCTTCGACATTCTCGATAAGATAAGATAAGATACAATTCAAAATTTGTCAGAGAACTTGTCCCTAATATTAAAATCAGGCATGTTGTAGGTCACCTACATATATACATATTACGTTGCGAGTGCCTCAACTGTACACGAAACATATAAATTAGGATGCGCTCTTAGAAATGATATCTGTCACTGCTCCACTTTTCCTATCGGAGCGGGATAATACAAAGGACGTCCCTCGGACTCTCTTCCCCCTACTCCCTTCACCTCGCAATCTCTCTTATCTTCTCGTCTCGCATCATCGGCGAATGACGTAGCGAGGTAAATGGAGTGGACAGCGGGCAGCATATGCTTCGTGGCGATCTTCTCTGGCTGTACAAAACGAAACTGTCCCCACACACATGGAATATTCCGGTGCGATGCGCCAACGCGAAATGTCGGCGGTGCGCCGAACCGGAAGCGGGAGATAACATTCAACCCGCGCGTTATACTGGGCCTATGATTTATATGACCGGCTGTAATCTATAGATTTGGACATAGTCCACCGACTTTTGCTCTACCTACCTACCTATCTAAACGCTGCCGGCGTTTTACGTCCTACGTTTTACATCCTGCGACGTTGCAATCGTCTTTAAAACTCTCTGAAAAAATTTATAATTTATATTCCAATAAATAAAAAAAATTACATATTTAAGTATTTAATTTAATTACACATTAAACGTATAAAATAAAACAATTTTATTTTCTAAATTTATATAGAACTGATGAACTAATGAATTTTAGATTTGTTTGTTCAAAAAAATTTTTAAGACATTTTTATTTTTTTTTATTGCGCGGTTTCTTTTACGTTCAATGAAGATTATTTTTAAAATCATGTGACACATATATATGCAATAAATGTTACATATTTATATGATTGACTCTATATCAAATGGTCTAATTGAATCGCCCAAACCGATGCGGTTCCTGTCGCGAAGTATGAGCATCAAAAAGATGCATAGGAGATAAAAATCTCTCAGGAGTCAGCGTATCGCCGGGATACACCAATCAATAGCCGAAAATAAATTGATAGTTTGTCGAGCAACGGGACGTCCCCTAATATTTCCGAATGTAATCGAAGGGGTGTGCGCGCTCTTAGACAACCCAGAAAAAAAAGGAAAAATACAGAATAACGGAAAGGAAGGATGGTAGAGCGGGGGATGAACGTCGCCGAGGAGAGGAAAAAAACGAAAAAACTTCGACAATGCAGTTACAGGCAGGCGGGAGAAGAGAGAGGACGAGTGGACGACGTGTTCCGGGGGTGTTTTATTGGCTGGTTTCCGTGGGGTGGAAATTCCGTATAATGTACGAGATGTTTGCGTGGACTCTTTTAACTCTATCCCTCGCAACGGGGCTATCGCAGGCCTCTCTTATTGTTAGTAGATTTGTCGCATACATAAAACTAATCGAATCGGTGAATGGAATCGGACTTGATGAGAAAATCCTTGATATGTTTTTAATCCGAATTATATATTAGTATCATTATTTTAGACTCAGTAATTTATCACTGATTCTAATTCCTAGACACTTATCTTCTATTAAAATCTTATTTAATTTTGTGAAATTTTTTGATAAAAATAATTACACATTCATTACCCTGTTTATTATGTTTTAAATTATATATTCAACAACATCCTGCTTTAATACATCCTGTTCTCACGCTTCATGAACATTGGCGATTATTTCGATAGAGTCACAGCGAAAGGCTCCATAAGAACACTGATCTTCGATGACCCTTGAGATCAGAACATCGGGATCGAGCGAACCGCCGTTGTTCCGATTGACGTCGGAACCGGAAGCGACGTTCCCTTTTTATCATTTTTTTAAAGGGCTAACGCACGTGACACGTGCCGACATTATGCCGGAGTGCTAAGTCGCGTGACCGGAAGGAGCGTCCTAATTGGTATCGATTCCGCGTCGACGCTGCTCTTTTCCACCCACGCCATTCGGCGGTCTTCGTTTGCATTATTGCATTTCACCTCAATCTTAGTAACCTTTCTCAAAAATAACTGTAGAATACATAATCGATAAAATATTATGATATATTTATTTTTTTTAGATTTTTAATATTTTATATAAACTAATCATATATCTTAAACTCGATATATAATTGTGCAATAATTATTAAATAAAAGAATTAATAACACTTTCTAAAGTATATCGACTATTAATATTAAAGTATATTTTTTATTGTATATCGCGTCTGTTTTCTAGTTATATCATACTTTTACAAACTTGACAAAGACATAGTGTAAAATATTTTAAAATATTGCAGAGAATAAGTCATCGATGTTAATCGATTATTTCGACATGTTTTTGTTCGAGCACGAACAAAAAGGCGCGTTTAGTACTTGTTCGATCGGTATTCTCTCGGTACGTCCGACGGAAATCTGAATGTCCGTCCGTGTCGAGGGGCGGCAGAAGTTTGCTCGAAACTTTTTCAATCCCGAAAACTTTCCGCCGCGGGCAGTTTATTGTGCTGTTAGGAGTTTCAAAGGAGTTGGACGGATGTCGAACGGTCGAATTGTCAGCGTTACTCGAGAGAGCGTTGTCGTTCAAACATTATCGAACATATTGAAGAGACGCATCTCGATGTCATTGAAATTGTGCGTAAATTCCTTGAGATTGCAAGACGCAGACAAGAAAAATACGCTCGCTTCATAACAGCTGCTAGTTTGGACAATGATTTACAATAAACCGATGTGAAATATAATGTTGTTGCTCTCTCAATAAAATTAACGTATCATTATTGATAAGCAGTGATTTCAGTTATAAATAACACTGAAATTTCTGATCTTTAATAAAAGCTTGTCATCATTTAATCAGAGACTTTTTTGCTGATGCAAGATTAGTTTGAGAGAGAGTGAGAAATAATATGTATGGTTCAATCTGATTAATTCGATAAGATATTTTGGTAAAATTTTTGATATATTTATTCGCATTAAAAATGATATAGAAAAAAAAGATTTCGCAAAAATACTCTTTTCAATTCTGATATCCACATTTTATCTCTCCTGAAAGCTGACAATACAGAACTACTTGGTTTTTATAGCGATATCTTCGATTTAAACATCTTTATTCTTGAAGACGTTCCAGAAAAACATATTCATCGCAACATGTTTGGCTACTTCGCGGAGGACAAACAATAAATAGCTTTCTTCGAGCTTTATTTTGTTGCAATTCAACGAAACTCGATGCTTTCCGACGCTCGTATACCGCAATAACAATGGCCCTCGCGAGTTTCTTGTCGCGTTTCTGGCAACGTTCAGGATTCATAAGGACACATCGATTTTTCCCAGCAGCATCTCGTGCGATATCTCGAGACCGCGGCAGCCTGAGAGTGCAGAGTGTGCTCTGGAAACTTGCCAGAGAAAGCGTGCATCGTCGGCCGAGATGATAAGTCTCTCTCTCTCGCGGATGAAAAAAAGTCGGAGTAGATTAATCAAAGCAGAAATTCGGAGCGGCGAGAGCGACCGCCGCCGACAAAGCATATTCCCCGCTAAGAATGGATCGTTTCC